CAGATCCTGAAGCTGAGGCTCCAGTACTCTGGCCATCTCATGAGAAGAGAAGACTCCTTGGAAAAGACCTTGATGTTGGGAAAGTGTGACGGCAAGAGGAGAAGTGGATGACAGAGGATGAGATGGCTGGACAGTGTCTGCGAAGCAACCAACATGAAATTGACAGACCTCCGGGAGGCAGTGGAAGACAGAAGGGCCTGGCGTGCTCTGGTCCATGGGGTCACGAAGAGTCGGACACGACTAAACGACTAAACAACAACACAACAATCATTCGGATGATCCATTCTCTTCTGCTGATACGACTGTTATTCCTATGGAGAGTGGGTTGCCTCTTAGTCTTGTGTTCAAGCTTTGACCATTGAACCTCAAGTGACTCTGTTAGGCGCTCAGACTAATAGTGAAGTCTAGCCTCCGCTATTGATTTTTGCTTCTCTGACATATTCAAACAACCTCTCCATGTTAAGGTGTTTTGTCTAGGAGAGAGTGCTGTAGACAAGAACTCTGACTTTTGATATTAATTCTTGGTCAATCAATGGGGAAACTGTTTCATTGCTGCTATTGCTAATCATCACATCAAAAACAGGGATACTCAAGATGAGAACTATTTGGAAAACTAAGCAATTCCTATAAAAGAATCCCTTTTCCATCATGACCCAAACACTCATCTGAGTTGATTACAAGAAAAACAAAGAGGTTTGTGGTGCTCTAAGAACAAACTAATTTATTGTGGCTTAAATGTTACTCGGCTTGAGTTCGCCATGTCAAATGCATGACAAAATTGGCAGCTGCGTCCATCAATGTAGACGTCCAGAATGTGAAAATGTAAACAGTAGGACCAAGAGAAAGAATTGCCAGAGATGCAAATGTTCAAGTAAAATTAAAGAGCATATAAAACTAAGCACAGTGACCATTCGCAACACTACTGATGTATGATGACACGGGAATTCTAGATATCTTACTGAACACCAGTAGTGGTACAAAAGATGGAGTCAAATTACCTAATAAATTCAAATTCAGTGAATTCACTTCCCTTTAAAGTTCCCTGAATCACAAGTGACAACTTTCAAGTCAGAGCAGCAGAGCATCCTGGGAGACAAAAATACACTCATGTAGATATTTTTGTCAGGGACAAAAAAAATCTTACAAGGACTTCTCTACATCTTTAACAACTTCTGCTATGGCCCTTTCTCTCTGAAGGTTGCCTTCGAGGGAAAAAGGAGGTGGGGAAAGCCCTGAAGTTTGAAGACTCAGAAAACAGAAGCTAACATGGAAATTTAAGATTTTAAGAGATTAAAAAAACAGAGGAACAGCACATGTCAACTTTCATGATATTATTCTTCAATGACATACCCCTACGGAGGCTTGGCTACACTCAATCTGAAACTGGAACATATGTCATTTCAAAATAACACAAAAAAGAAAGTTTCAGATTTTGAGAAGAATTCTGCTCCAGAGTGCATGGCAGGAAGAGAAGGGGTCAGCTTGCTTGCCAGCCTTATGGTGAGATTCTGAGGTGGCCTTTTCCATAGATGTGAAAGAACGGGAACAGGGTCTCTCCTGCAAACAAGGCTCTGGAGAATGTGTAGAGATGGGCTGCGGTATGAGCATCATAAAAAGCTACTTGCCCCCCAGCATAGTTCAGATATACTCGGATCAGCTTAAGCTCCCCAACTGGAGACAATCTAGGAAAATGGGACTCATTTGTAGCATTGTACCCACCTCCCCACTTCCCTATAGCCCAGAGGCCTCCTCTAGGACTATAGACAAGATCACCCTTTCTCTTCATAGATTTTTTGGCCACTCCTATGATCCATTGCTCCTCACTTCCAACAACGACTTCCCAGAAATGTCTGCCTCCCGTGAACCCCTTGCTGCCCAGCACAGAAGGACTTCCGCTGAATCTCTCAGGATTGATGGGCAAGTCTTGGCATTTGCCTCCATATCTTACGCTCTTACCATCCTCAGTCAAGATGAGTTGCTGATGGGCTGTGTTTAGATCAAGAAAGATATTTGCTGTCAGGGAAGAAAAGGAAAGGGAAGGTAAAGAACATCAACTTGCTGAATGGCTAATAGGTTGACTCTAAGCGCACCAGAGGCATCGTATTCCCTATAAAACAGTATTTCCCAATGCACTGCAGATCAGAACCAGGTTTTGTATATATAGCCCTATCTCTCTCTGCCTCTCTCTCTATATATATATATCTAGGGCTGTTTATATATATATACAGGCTTGGAAAGCCAGAGTTTGCAAACTGTGTGGACGTTTGCCCATCGTATGTTGAACTTTACTGCTATTACTCAACCTCTGTATTTCCACTGTATGTATGAGCCCAAACATCACTATAGGCCTGTTGAATAGGGACAGGATTGCCTGGCAGCTGCTGCAAGGCTACATGGGTAAAGTAGTTCCAATAGGTAGCAACTGCCTACATTTCCCAGGTAGCCTTGCTAAACTGTGACAGAGCAGCTGAGCTCCCTCCCTCTTCTTCAAACCTGAAACACATGAAACAGAGTGGAAAGGTAGTGTGGAAACCTCTCTTCTGCTCCTAGTTTGCTCTCCCACTCTTTGGGAAATTCCGGGTGAATTCTAGGGGTGGAGTCCTTGAGCCCACTTCTCATAATTAAGCTGTGGCCAATTTCAACATTTGAAGGACAGAACTGTTTTAATCCAACCGAAATACCACAAGCATTTTTTTAATCAGCCCACGTTCTACCTGTGACTTTTGCCAGTAACTGACCTTTCTGAAGTTCTTGCCTAGACAATACAGCATCTGGAGAAGCAAAAAGATATTACGGTGAAGCATCACATGGTCATGTTCAGTGCACTTTTACTTCATACTATGGCATGTAATTCAAGCAAAGGCTTCAGCAGATACTGAAACAAACTAGGAGGGGGGATGCTCATTGCAGCTACTGTTTGGCTGAAGTCTTGTTGCTGTATACTTAAAGAACACCCATAACTTCCAGTCTATTCCTGCCTGGTAAATAGTTTCCCTATCATGATTCTTTGGTACACATGCACACTGAATGGGCACATATGTGTGTGCACCCCCAAGAATCACACGGCGATCCTTTATTTACCAGCCATGAACGAAATGAAAGTTATGTATTTTCTTATGCCAGGCAATAAGACTTCAGCTATTGCTTCCAAATAACTGTACACTGTGATATTTCCACCATCACCAATCAAGTCCTCCTGGGTTCTCCTAGTCAGCTGTGATTTTACGCCTGGCAGGTGTGAGGGAGATGCTTTCATACTCTCTGGGAGGCTGCCCGACCATCTTCATTTCTCCAGGAGGGGTGCAGGCTGGCCCTGACCACAGAACTGGCAGGGAAAAGGAGCACCTGGGTGGCAGCAGGGAGGAGAAACACCTGGAGGAAGATGTCTGTCCAAGTGCAATGCAAACAATGAAGATGGTTAATAAAGAGGAGAAGTGGAGGAAAGTCTTGGGCAGAGGCTTAAGGAGGAGTTACTGCTGGTACTGCGTGCCTTGGTGGAGGCGTGGCCAAACATCCTGCAGGGCTCATGGCATGGGTGAGCATGGCCTGGGTCATGGACACAAGAGAGCAATGCTCTTCTTTGCTTCAGTGGACCTGTAGCACCGCTGGACTCAAAAACTGGAGATTTACTTGCTTGCCTTCCTGCACCCACTCTCACTGCTGGAGATGGTGTTACCTGAGGCTGCACATTATGCAGCTTGCTCAGAGTCTGGAGGCAGCTTCCGTCTGCCCTTTAACTAGGGCTAGTGAAAGGAACCCGGCCCTAGCCAGAAGGGTGAGGGTGCAGAAAATCGTTTCCCAAGGCACAGAGTGCCATGGGTGGTGGGACAAATCAGAGTCCTCAGTCTGTTCATTCTGGACAATTGTCAAAATCAATAAAAGTTGTTCCTCTCTGCTTTGGTGTGTCCGTGGAACAGAAGGGGTGGCAGGAAGCACACCAGATTATTTTACTCAGGGAATCTCAAGAGGCTCCATTGTAGCAGAGGGCCAAGAACCCCGAGGAGGCCACCATAAGGCCCTCAGGACCTTTTCTTATAAGTTGAGGGTAGCAAACAAACATGGAGGTTTGAGGTAACCTACTCTCTAGTCCTGCAATAGCTTTGTTTCCATTAAATCTGGGCTTAAAAATGGATTGAGGAGGCTGAACTCAGCCTTATAGGCCCCTTCCAATTCAAGTATTCTGTGATTCTCGTGAACAGTAAGTATATTGTGAGATATTCCCTTATAACAAAATAGCTGAAATCCAGTTTGTCTTCTCCTTGCAATTGTCTTTTTAGCCAACATGAAACCCGTGTTTAAAAGGGTGATCTTTTGTAAGTGCAAACTAGAGGTCACTGCAACATTCACAGAGTGCTCTACCTGCAAAGCAACCACACTCCACAGGATTCTTACTAGTGGCTTGGTCTTGAGTTGATTTAGATTATTAAGACCCATAAGCTTTCCAAAAATTTGCTCCTAGGGCAGGTGAAAACGGCTCAAACTGATTTATTAAAATGGATCAGTCTCACTGCTTGTATTTTTTTATTCTACCAGGGGCCATGGCTATGAGGGTTCACATGATGAGTGCCTACCTTTCAAAAAGTGCCACAACGACACAGCCAAGTTTATGCCCTCGATACCTATGGGCAAGGGGAATCCAAAAGCATACCATCCTGTCTGTCCACCATCTACAGGTGGGATGCTTAGGTATCCTGGACTACCAAGCCCATAATTCTCCATTCTGAAAGTCATACCTGACAAGAGTGACACCTCACAGACATCTAAATGTGGCTCACCTGGAAGAATGGCCTCAACTGTAAAGCTCTGAGGTTTAGCAAGGCCTACATCCTCCCACCTTCCTGTTCAGAAATACAGCTTTCTGGGGCAGAGGCAGCATCACAAGGCTTGGGTGGAGCAAGGCCCAGTTAAGCCTTCCAAATTCAGGAGTCTGCCTTCAAGAAGAACTCTCAGAATAGAGAATTATTGTTGTAACCAAAGAAATAATAATAAAAATCCCTACTTTTAGAGAGAACAAGAAAATATTGAGCAGGGAGGAAAAGCCCCTTTCAGAAGCTGTCACCAAGGTGCAGAAATGGATAATTTTGACAGGTAGTCTTGCCACAAAAAAGCAGGAAATACTCAGGAGCTTGTGAGGGTTGCAACCAGGTATGTGGCAAATGCAGGTAAGAAAGCCTTTGCTCCAATGATGTGACAGGGAGGAACAGGAGGGCAAACTACTTGTCTGTTAACACGGTCTCCACTTCTGAGGCAAAGGGAGGGAGAAGGCGAGAGAGCCAAAAAAATACCCCCCAAAACAAAAAAATCCCGCCAAGGTAAAGCCTACACTTAATTTCTTAATTCTCCTGCTATGATCCCTGGAATAAATGCTAAGTTCTCACAATGGAAGGAAATACAGTGGGGTCTTGACTTGAGAACTTAATATGTATTGGAAGGCGGTTCTCAAGTCAAAAGTTCGCAGGTCAAATCTGCATTTCCCATAGGAATGCATTGAAAACCATTTGATCCGTATCTGCTCTTTTCCGTCCATAGAAACTAATGGGAAGCTGCTATTCCACCTTCGACCACTAGAGGGGGATATTTTGTTTCTTTTTTTCTTAGGTCAAGAAAGGTTCAGGGAAGGCAGGGAAAATACAGTCCAGGCAGTACTGAAGACTGTCTCCCAATCCACTCTCTAAACGCTGAGAGGACTGAGGAAGCAGACAGGCACCCTTTTCACTGGCCAACAGTTAACTGAAAGTTCAAATTTTGCACTTTCCCTGCCTCCCACGTGGTTTTTTTTCAGTTCTTAACTCAAATCTAAGTACGTAAGTCAAGTCAATATTTTCCTATGAGAGTGGTTCGTAAGTCAAAATGTTTGTAACTCGGGCCGTTCGTAAGTCAAGACCCCACTGTATCTAACAGCTTTCTCTAGCAATCTATATGAACTGCTGGACAGCTCAGTGGTTTAGCGATCTGGCTTGGAGAGACAGAGGTTGGGAGTTTGATTCCCCACTTGTACTGCACTGACTCAATGAGCCACAGGGTCCCTTCCAGCTCTATGATGATGATGATGTTTTAAAGTTAATTTATTCATGACTGATACGTAGGCAAGTCTGAACAATGAGGTAACTTCTCATATCTATGCAGGACCCAACATGTTTCATGGCCAGGCAGATTGTGAAAACCTCAAAATATACCTCTCACTATGAAGGTGGGCAAAAAATCAAAAGAAACCTACAATAGTCTAGCTCACTAGATGTATGGCTGTTCCAGTAATCAGTAATGGCTGCCCATCTTTCTTGAAATCTGAGCTGCACTCATCCATCCATAATGATCTGAACAGTCCATTGTGTTCATAGCAGTTGTTTTCTTTCTCCTTGGGTCGTTGATGGTGCATGAAGTGGCTGCCAATTTGTGCCACCAGAATTTGTGCTACTTGTGGAAGCAGCCAAAAAAAAAAAAAAAAAAAAAAAAAAAAAAGAAAATTGTCTGGAGCCAACACATCAAGCATAAATCCCTGCAATCGTCATTACCTTTGAATAGTTCCATGGGGCCAACTGGACACAAAATGCTATCACAGAAGTCCCAGATCTTCCACTTCAGTTCTACTGGAAAACCCACTAGAACCTCAAATTTCCTTCTCTTTCCATTCCTGGTTGAAAAAAAACCAAGGTTAATGTTGATATATAACAGGAAAATATAGAATTGTCAGTCTGAATGATGGGAGAATGACTAAGCAGAGGAAGAAAATCTGAGTCATTCTAGTTGGCTTCTAGCCAGAACAGGTGGTATGCCTGCATATGTGCAATGCTCAATTTGCTAAGTGTTGTATCATACACAAATATATAGGTAGGCAGTTAACAAACCTATGTAGTTGGGTTATCCATGGAGAAGCAAAGTGTCCCTTTGTCAGCCAACATCTTGGAATTTGGACTGGACTGTGATTACTGTTTTCTGTACTGCCGATTCCGAAGAGGTGCTTGTATGTACAGCGGTGCCCCGCTAGACGGCTGCCTCGCAGAATGAGGAAATAGCTAAACGATGACTTTTTGCGAGCGCTATAGCACTTCGCAAACTGGCTTTCCCTATGGGCGATTTTCACTGCACGATGATTCAGTCCGTGCTTCGCAAGACACTCCCCCCCCCCGGGACCTATTTTTCACTAGATGATGATTTTGACAGCTTCGGTAAACGGGTGTTTTTGGCCCCATTTTTTGCTAGATGCCAATCTAAACAGCTTGGCAAAACGGCTTTCCTACGGGCGATCTTCGCTGGATGACGACGATCCTTCCCCATTGGAATGCATTAAACGGAATTCAATGCATTCCAATGGGGAAACGCTTTTCACTAAACGATGTTTTCACAGGACAGCGATTCCAATGGAACGGATTAACATCATTTAGCGAGGCACTACTGTATGTATATTTTCTAAATACAGTTCTGGTGGTGAAAGGAACACAACTGAGTCTTCTTTTTTTCATTTTTTGCTCTGCACAGTTCTCTGTTTGGTAGTTCTTACTCAAACAACACTATCAACAGTACTACACACTCTGAAAGTTAACCAACCACTCATCCTGCCAAGAATACCTGAGCGAAGCAAAACTAAGGGACTAAGATGAAGAAGAAACTACAGAGCACCTAGAAAAGGGTGGGCAGAAGGTGCCCTCTCAAGGCTGCCTTTGATTCACAACAAAACGAATTCTGTCTTGGATGCACACTTCAATGCAGTGAGGGGGGTTTGAGTGTGTCAGTGAAATTTGTTTTTATTTCAGACAATCCCCATAATATTAAAACAATTCTTTATTCAAGAACTTAAGATAATTATGAGATTTGTGTGGCAAGGAAAACAATCAAGAATAAAAATTAAAGCAATGCAAAATGCCAAACAGAGAGCGGGTTTCGGTCTTCCAGATTAGGTTTTATATTATAGATCCTATGTATTAGACTGGATAAAGGAATGGATAACTTTGGAAAATGATAAGATCACTCAATTTGGAAGGATATGATTTGCATTTCGGTTGGCATGCTTTTCTATGGTATAAAAAAGTTAAAGAGCAAAAACATTTTAATTCACATATGATAAGAAGAGCTTTATTAGGAACTTGGAAAAAGACTATTCAACAAATTTACCAAAAAACCACCAGTATGGGTATCGCCTAGAGAGGCTTTTACACAACCTAATCTTATGACGGAAGCGAAGCTTCTAAGATATCGAGATTTATTGAAAAAGGACTGTGAGTTAAGGTCCAAAGAGGAGTTAGAGACACAAAAGATATATATAGATTGGTGGTCCAGAGCACAGCTGGAATCCAGATACAGAAAAGACAAAATAGAGGGTTTCTACTCAGAACAAACGACATTTGATAAATTTCTATTCGTTTCAAAAGACAAAATAATTAAGAAAATGTTTAATTATTTGTTAGAAATTAAAATGCAAAATGAGATGGTTAAAGAATGTATGATTAAGTGGGCACAAAATATACATAATATTGATGTTGATCAATGGTTGCAAATATGGCAAAATAATATAAATTTTACAAAATCAGTTAATTTTAAGGAGAACATATATAAGATGTTTTATAGGTGGCATAGGACTCCGGAAAAATTGTCAAAGATTAGATGCGTCAAATGTCTGTTGGAAATGTGAAGCACACGAGGGAAGCTTTTATCATATGTGGTGGACTTGTAGAGTAGCGAAACGATATTGGATAGGAGTGCATACTATGTTACAACAAATATTGCTTTGTAAGGTTTCATTAACTCCAAAATTGTTTTTATTGAATATGATACCAGATAATATAGATAAGGCAAAGAAGTGCTTAGTTATATAGTCCCTGCAGCCAGAATTCTTTATGCCAAAAATTGGAAAAGTCTGGAGATACCGAAACAAGAGGAACTTACTGAGAAGATACGGGAAGCAGCAGAAATGGAGATTTTATCAGAAGTGATGAAAGACTTTTAGGCAATTAAAAGATGGGATTTATTTTACAAAGGTTAGAGCCACCAGATAGTGCTTGAATAACATAGATCAAAATGTGAATTAAAATCTGGAAGGCAGAAAATAGTAGAAAAGCGGAGTTTGAATTTGGATATTGCAATATGAATAGATTAGATGTCAGTATATTTTTTTGTTTCTCCTTTCCCCCCCTTTACCTTCTGTATCCCATACCCTAACCCAAGTTTTAAATAATTAAAAATAAAAAAGTGTGTGTCAGTGAAACCAAGAGCAATGCCATTAGGATTACCAGTAGAGATGGGCATGAACCTTGGTTCAGAGGTTCTTGTCAGTTCGTACCCACAGCACCACAGGTGCAACATGTTCCCTTCCCCCTCCTCCCTGACCAGATCCCCCCAGTCATCAGCCGGTGTGCTCTCCTCTCCAGGTGTTCAACCAGTCCCTGGCAGGAGCAGGGGCTTTCTTGCCCAACCTCCATGGCTGATTGCCACTCAGACAAGGAGACAGGACAGGCAAAACTATGCTCCTGCCAGGTCGAACAGAGGAGGAAAGGAGCGTGCTCTGACTGCTGAGTGAGGGATCCAAACGGGGAAGTGTTTACTACCATCTGCTGATGTCGTGGGAGAAAAGCAAAGGTCCAGCTCAAACTCATCTTCTGCACTGTATTCAGTTTCTTGGATAAGTTTCTAATCCTCTGTGACTACACAGACGGGAGGGCATGCTCAGGCAGGGATCTCAAGAGGACTAAGAGCGCTTCGCATTTTGCAGCAGATCCTGAAAATACTGACATTCTCTTCTTAGTGTGTCTGGAAAATCATGTTCACCAGGAACATTCATATCCTCGCCCAAATTATGGAGTACCAGTAGAAACAAATGGGATCCACTTACTTCTCCAAGATGTTTTTCACATCCTAGAAGAGAAAAAGAAAAAAACACATTAAAAAATACAATATAGAAACATAAAAACCTGCCTCCTATCGAGTCAAACCAATATTCCTTCTAGTCTAATAATGACTGCAGCTGGCAGTGGCTCTCAGAGTTCTTTTGCAGTCATACCTGAAAATTCCTGGTCTTCCCTGATAGTCCTCCCTCCAACTACTCACCAGGCCTGAATGTGAAGGCACTCCAGTCCAATCCATCTTGGCTGGTACAGTGGTGCCTCGCATTACATTAATTCGTTCCAGCAAAATCGCTGTAGAACAAAAACTTTGTAATGCGAAAATAAAAAACCCATTGAAACGCATTAAAACCCGTTTAATGCGTTCCAGTCAGCTGGAAACTCACCGTCCAGTGAAGATCCTCCAAAGGGTGGCCATTTTCAGTGGCTGTCTTGCGAGGAATCCGTCCCTAAACACAGCAGGGAGCCATTTTATTTTTCCGGTGGCCATTTTGAAACCACTGATCAGCTGTAGGAAAATCGTTTTGCGAAGAATCTGTTCCCGAAGCAGGGAACCGATCATCGCAAAGCGAAATTCCCCCATTCAGACCATCGTTTTGCGATCGCAAAAATATCATCATTAAGCAGTTTCGTCGTAATGCAGGGCAATCATAAAGCAAGGCACGACTATATATTAAAGCAGACTCCACTCAAGTGCTCAGAGTACTGAGGGCCAAGGAGGCCAAAGCCTGCATTTCCCCCTGCCCACAAGGGAAAGGAGCTGTGGCCTGTGTAAAAGAAGAATCTGATAGGTGGAAGTGCTAGGCTGGGGAGCCTTTTACATCTACTTATTTTTCTCTAGAGGGACCCAGTGTGGTGTAGTGGATAAGGTGATGGACCAGGATTCTGGGCACCAGGGTTCAAATCCTCATTAGGCCATGGAAAAGTCACTAGGGGAGTGGAACAGGTAAAAATGCTCCTTAAAAATCTGTTACCTTTAAAGCTCTATTAAGGTCGCTATAAGTTGGTTCCAACTTGATGAAACTATTGTTCTCTATATCGTTCATTTTTTCTGTGCATAATCCATCTGATAGAATTCCCAGAAGGGAATAGAGCCTTTTAAACTAAGAGGAATACGATCAAATGTCATGGCTCAAACCCTGTGGCGGTATGCAAAAGGGGTCCTGCCGGGTGAGCCCATTCAGTTCAGCATCCTGCACCCAGCCCTGGCCAACCAGATGCTCCTGGAAAGCTCACAGACAAGGCAGGGAGAGGGACACAACCCATTAGCAGGCAGATGAAAATGGCAAATGCTTGCCATCTGTTACACAGAACCCTCTAGTCTCAACTAAGGTAAATGCTCTGCCCTACACATAAGAAAGCTTGTTCTCAATATACCGAAGTGAGTGCCTTTGCAAGGTAAAAGAAGTGCACAAAGGTTTTGGACTCAATCCTTCCCTAGAAAGCAGCCCCCAATTGTTTCTGCCAGTCTTGCCTGTAGGAGTTCCTCTGGGGGCTGCTGCTGTTTCTCCTCCATCTCCTGGATGAGACCTCCAAGAGAGGAGAGCTCCTCGGAGAACCTGGCCAGCAGCTCATCCCTTTTACTTGCAATCTCCTTCTCTACTACTTTCAACTGGGCCAGCAGAATCTTTTCCTGTTCTTCTAAAAAGTGACGCATTTGTCTGAATTCTTCCACTGCTTGTCGTGTCTTTTCTTTCGTACACCTCTGCAAATCAACAGGTAGAAAGGGAAGAAAAGGAGGTTTATGGCAGGAACATGATAAATCTTTTCAGGATTCAAAGAATCTTTTAAGAACTTCTATAGTACTTGTTGGCCATATGAAAAGAGAAGACTCCCTGGAAAAGACCCTGATGTTGGGAAAGTGTGAAGACAAGAAGAGAAGGGGACAACAGAGGGCGAGATGGTTGGACAGTGCCATCAAAGTTACCAACATGAATTTGACCCAACTCCAGGAGGCAGTGGAAGACAGGAGGTCCTGGCGTGCTCTGGTTCATGGGGTCACGAAGAGTCGGACATGACTTAACGACTAAACAACAACATAGTACTTGTAGGGTTTCAAATACTATACAAAATGAGCATCAATTTCTGCAAGGACAGACTCTCAGAGTCTAAAATGTCAATTTATAAAACTGCAAAACATCAGCCTGTTCCAAATTGTAGATATTCTTTAAATGGCTGACATGTGGTTCTTAACTCTTCAGCATTCAATATGTTTTCTTTTTACTGGTTAAATAACTTGTTCCCTTCCCAGCGATACTATGTTTACACTTACAAGTATGTTTTGGCATTCTGCCTCTGTTTTTGATTTACATGCCAGCTTTCTTTCTTTCTTCTTCTTTAAAAGCTCCAGTTGACTGCAGATCAGGTCCTGAAGACCAAACAGAAGTTCAAGTTTGGTTCAAAGAGAGCATCATTTTATTTATTTATTTATTAGATTTTTACCCCGCCCCTCTAGACTATGTCATAAGGCAGTCTTGGAAGTTCCAGTAACAGAAGAGGAAATCAAAAGGACAGAAGGAAAGTAAGAGAGTAAAATTGCCAGGCTGTGATTGTTTCCTTGGAAGATTATACCAGAAATTAGAAGAAATAATAATGTGCCACCTGATGAATCTTTCCAACATGGTACAGTGGTGCCTCGCATAGCGACGATAATCGGTGCAGCAAAAATCGCTGCAAAGAGATTTTGTCGCTATGCGATATTAAAAAGCCCATAGGAATGCATTGAAACCCCTTCAATGCATTCCTGTGGGCTTAAAACTCACCTTAAAGTGAAAATCCTCCACACGGCGGCCATTTTCGCTGCCCAGTAAGCGAGGAATCCATCCCAGAAAACAGCGGGCAGCCATTTTTTTTACCTGGTGGCCATTTTGGAACTGCCAATCAGCTGTTAGAAAATAATCACTTTGCGATGATCGGTAGGCGAAACAGGGTACCGATTATCGCAAAGTGTTTTTTTCCCATTTAAAATATCGCAATGCGATCGCAAAAATTTCGTCGCTATGCAATTTCATCGTTAAACAGGGCGCCCGTTAAGCGAGGCACCACTGTATTAGGAGATATTCCAGCTAGTTGACACGAAGACGGAATAATAGCAATAGTCATATCATAAAACTGGAGTACTATTTCCTGAGTGCACTCGAATGAGTGAGCTCTTTCAAGTTACAGAGACCAAATCTTTCAAAATCCTATGAGAAACAAAACAGTGGCTCACAAACTGGAAACATTCCAATCCTCAAGAAAGGAGACACCTAGGAGTGC